TGGCCAGGTGTCATATTAACTACTTGGGAGGCTGAGGCAGGAGGATTGTAAATTCAAGGACAGCCTAAGCAATTTAGCAATACCCTATTTGGGGGGAAAAATTAGATAAGAAGGGCTGGAGATATAGCTCAGAGGTAGATCACCACTAGGTTCAATCCCCAGTATAGCAATTGAGAGAGAGAGAGAGAGAGAGAGAGAGAGAGAGAGAGAGAGAGAGAGAAATGAGAGAGAGAGAGAGAGAGAGAGAGCGCGCGCGCGCGCGAGAGCAAGCGCCTGAAGAGAGGTCTGGACCTTGCCTTGACTATCTTAGTTTAGATAGGACCAGTCAAATTCAATAGTTTCAGGTTGAGGTAATCAGAAATATCAACCATGAAATTTAGATGGGGGCTTTGCATAATGTAGTATCAGTAGATGTGGAGGTTGAATTCAATCACATGAACAATCAACCAGTCATTAATGAAGCCCCAATAAAAACTCTGGACACCAAGCCTTGGATGATCTTCCCTGGCAATCAATTCTTTGTGTGTACATACTGTCACCATCAATGCTTACAGGGCAACATATCCTGAGAACAATGGAAGCTTCATATTTGGAACCCCTCTAGATTCTGCCCTTTGCATCTCTTCTTTTGGCTGATTTTTCTGCTTATCTTTCCCTACATAAGCCATAATCTTGAGCAGTACAGCCTTCACTTACTTCTTGAAGCACTTCTAGACAATTGATTATGAGGGTGGTTTGGGGAGTCATCTGAACTTGGATTTGCTATCAAAGGTGAGGGTGGTCTTGGAGGGTATGGCCTCAATTTTATCATTTGGCTAACTTTAGGCAGGAACATCAGTTTATTTTCCAATGTAATTCTGGATATTTCCAGACTCTAGCTTGTGTAATCATTGCCCCTTTGGTTTATGTGAACACTCTGAGACTTACTTTTAGTCAACAAAATGTGGCAAAGCTGAGAGTGCACATGTGATCATGTTTATTTGAAGGCCACAAAAGACCGTGTTGCCCACCTTGCTAAACATAACCTCCCTCTCCAGTGTAAAGCAGGTGGCGTGTCGCAAGCTGCCCTATAAAGGAAGTCACACTGCAAGGAAGGAGGCCTTCAGCTAACAGCAAAAAACTGAGGCCTATAGTCCCAAATTCTGCAAGGATCTGAATGCTACCAACAACTCTTCCCCATTGGACCCTCAAAATGAGGCTCCAGTTCTGGCTGCATTTCAAATGCAGCTTTCAGATGAGATTCTGAAGCAGGCAATCAAACAAAACCATGTCAAACTCCTGACCCACAGTAGCTATGAAATAGTAAGTGTATGTTATTTAAAGTCATTAATTTGTGATAATTTCTTACACAGTACTAGATAACCATCACAACAATCAGAAACACACCAGGAGAGGGAAATTTATAAAATGCAAATAGGGTCATAATTACTTAATGGCTTAAGAATTTCTCAGTAGTCTCTCACTGATTACAGACCAAAGTCTAAACCTCTTAGGTGTTTTAGTCAGCTTTTTCACTGCTATGACTAAAGGACCTGACCACAACAACAGTAGGGGAGGAAAAGTTTATCTGGGGGTTCCAGTTTCAGAGGTCTTAGTCCATAGCTCCATGCCTTAGGGCTCAAGGTGAGAAAAACATGGCAGAAGAGTGTGGTAGAGGGAAGCAGCTCACATGGTAATCAGAAAGCATGGGACTGTGCAGGGTGGGGGCAGAGAGACAGAAAGAGAGATCTCCACTTTCCAGATACAAACACATACCCCAAACCTATGGCCCAAAGCCCCACCTCCTCTAGCTACACCACCACCCAATTAATCCCATCAGGTGATTAATTCACTGATTGTGTTAAGACTCTCAATCCAATCATTTCTTCTCTAAACCTTCTTTCATTGTCTTACATGTGAGCTTTTGGGGACACCTCACATCCAAACCATAATAGTAGGGTATAAAAGACTCTTTTTAATCTGATTCTGGTTCCTTGTCTAATCAAATCTCTTAAAATAGTCCATTCTGTTTCATCTTTTCTCTTTCTCCCTCACTCTAAGCTCCAGCCAAATTCAACCAAGTACAAGTTTTTAAAAATTATCTATCCATCCCTTCCACAATAAGCTGTGCCTCTTGCCTGGAACACCTCAATGCCATGCAACCGTCCTCTTTTCAAATCTCTATAGAAGTCAGTGTGGGTGCACCTCCTTGACCTCAACCAATAAAGTTTGTGGCCTCTTCCAGTATCAGCCAGCCCTGTGTACACTTCTGTGCAGCAAACCCAACTTGCATTCTAGTTGCTTATTAGCTGCCTTTCTGTTGATTTACACTACAAGAAATCCTTGAGGGGGAAAACTGAATTCTATTTGTCTAAGTTAGTTTGTAGTTCTGGCACAGATCTGGTGCTTAATAAACTTTTATTAAATAAATGAATGCTCATAAAATTATACTTACTGGTCATAACTTTTCAAGGAAAGACATTACAATACACAAAATAATTTTCTGTAATCCAAAGTACCAAATTGTAGCATTAATGAAACCATGACTTCAAGGTTTTCCAAATCTGGACATATATCTATCCAGCTTACATTTCAGCTCCATTAACCTGCCACACAATACCAATCAATATCTACTGTTTTAKGATTACATATTTTTAAGACCCTTTACTGTTTCAAAAAATAAATTTAAGGTGGGAGTGGTGACACACATCTATAATCCCATTGGCTTGAGAGGCTGAGACAGGAAGATATTGAGTTTGAAGTCAGCCTCAGCAACAACAGGGTGCTAAGCAACTCAGTGAGACCCTGTCTCTAAATAAAATACAAAATAGGGCTGGGGACGTGACTTGGTGGTTGACAATCCCCATCACCAAAATAAATGAACAAATAAACAAATGTGATAAAAAAGAAAATTCAGAAAAGTTTACTCTACCTTTAAAGCCATAAAATCAATAATTTATCTCAATCAAAATCAGAGCATATCATAATTAAAATTAAAGTAATTCACATTCAAATAAAAACTTGGGTGTTAAAAGTTTTAGTTTATCTAAACTTTGATTTGAAACTTGCTAAAACCAATTTTCACTAGAAAAGAGAACTGGTATTCTTTCAGGTTCCATTTTAACAAAATATTCATATTTGTTAAATTTTTACCTTAGAGAAAAAAGAAATATTACTCTGATTRCCAAAAGCACTAAAGAGTAATACAAATAAAAGTGAGTAGGTTTTAAAAAGTGAATCTTCAAAGTTACTTACATGGTACCTATAATACCACTTTAACTTTTTAAAATCAATTTAATATTAAAATAAGTTTATGCAGTTCCATTCATTCAGCAAACAAAAATATTTTTATTACCAACCCCCAAATTATAGATCAATTTTATTTTTAAACAACTAATTCTCATACATTGGTTTTTATTACATGTAACTAAAATAAAGGAACAAGAACACCAAAAGATCAAATTATAAAATAAAGTAGGCTAAAACTAAATATTTCATTGGATATTTCGGACTATAAAATTAATTAAAAACTTTGGACAAGACCTTTAGTCCATATAAAATTAGAAGCACAGACCACATTTTGGTTTTAGTGTTCTTTTTCATTCAAAAAGCAGGTATTTTAGCTCATGGGAAAGTAGCAAAATGTAAATTGTGATTTTTGTAACTATGTCATTTTATAAACTCATATTCACTAAAAGATTAGTGATTATTACACAAGATAAAAAGAACATGGGTCTGTATTCAGTCGAAGCAGCCAGATAGCAGCGATTTCCAACATCTCCAGCACAGTTCTCTAGTACAACACCCTGCATTTCACCCTAGAGGAGGAATGTTGGCAAAGATCTTTACCACATGGAAACTGCTCTCTTAAAGCTGCTGGGCCCTGAAATTTTATTCAGCAGTTTGAAATCAATCCACCGCTTTCCTCACTCACCCTCCCACTTGGGGCTAATGCACAGGCATGAACACCTACTGAGGAAAACCACAAAAAACTTCAAAACGGCTATAACGGTAGGCTTTTTTCCCCACATATTAYTTTAAATATTATTTGCTAAAGTGTGATGTATCTAATAGTCTTAATAAATGTAAAGGACATTTCTAATGTGTTTAAGTTCAGTTACCTTGAACAATTAATTTTTAACAATTATTTTAATCTATCATTACATTACATAACTTAATATTGAGGCAGATAAGAACTGGGTGTTACAAAACTCACAAACCCATTTTATTTTTAATTTTCAATCACTGGATTTTTGAGAAATTGGCATCTATAATGTAGCATCAGCAACTCTGTATGATTCTGAAGTTACTTAAGAAATAATCTGAAATATCTGCCCACCAGATAAAATACACTGGTGAATCTAAAAGAATCCTTTCCAGTATGTTCCTCAAAGTTCCTTGATTAAACTCTGCATTTCCTCTAGTCTACAAGACTATTGTTGCAGTTTTCATAGTTTAAACTGAAAAGACCTCATTATTAATTAAAAATAGTGATAATCTATTAAATATTCTGTAAGTATTAATGACTACATGATATGAAATTAAGATTTAAGTTTTAAATTTTTTCTAGGAACTTGTTTCAAAAAGCAGAATCAAAAGTTCTTATAAAGCAGCAAAGTTGAAATATGATATTTTTAACTCACATGAGACAGATCTTGGGTCTTCATTTAACTATTTCTACTACAGGTATCCTAAAAATATTTCATTGTATATAAGTACCTCTATTGAAGGCACTTATTTATTAAGAAACTTAAATTATCAACCTCTCTTAAATCTTTGATAGACAATAAATAAAACTTTCTAAAACTATTTTTCAGAATGTTTACTGATACATGCAAACTGCTAGTATCTAATTAAAGATCATTAAGGGTTAAATACTTGTTCTCTGGCCCCTACTGCGTACACTCTGCCAAAACATCCTCTAAGCTTTTAAATATTGCTTCGATGGTCTGCATTTTTATTTCCAGGGAAAAGCAGAGTTTTGTCCCACAATCTGCAGGCCACTGGTTTATTAACTTCCAGTCACCTTGATTTCTGCTGAAATGAAGACTGTGCAGTCTACACTGCTCCTGTTACTGTTCATGCCTCTGACAGAGCCAGCACCACCAGCTCAGCAGGATTCAGGCATCACCCATGAGTATGGAACAGATAACTTGGAAGAAACCATATTTAGCCAAGATTATGAGGATAAATACCTGGATGGAAAAAATATTAAGGTATTTTATTTCTATTCTAAATTTAYCTTCTAAAATAGTACCCATTTAAATGTACATTTTGTTTTTCTTGAATTTATCTGATAAAGGGGAAATGAAAAGCATTTTAAATGGTTAAAAGTAATTCATAATAATTGTCCCCTGAGATTATACTTTTAGAACATGCATGACTTCCAAATTAATAAATAGTACTTATGGTAACCAAATAGTTGCTATAGTAAACAAAAAATAAAATTTAAGGGAAACTAAACTTTAAAGATGATCTCCGACCAGTTGCAATTTATATATTATGTTATGCAATGCCCTATATTTGCATATTTTACTGCCTAAAAAATAAATTAATGAGAATAAAGATGAATTCTTAGCTTAGTTTATTATTTGGGGAAAAATGGTTCAAGGAAATGACCAGAAGAGCACTGGTTATGTCAACTACACAAAGTACCAAAAATTGAAAAACAAATTCATAGGGGCTTTCTTTTAAATCAGTTTTAGCAGTTTAGACTCTATATCAGTTTGCAAGGATCTGTAACTGTTATTGAGTTAACATTCTACAAGGAGAGTTTCTATAACACATCATTCACATCTCACCTTCAAGCAATGTAATTATTTGTGGTTTTCTTGGCACACAGAAATGAATATTGGTTAAGGAAAAAGTTACATAGCACATAACTATCTGTTGCCCACTGTATGCGTCATACACACATACACACATACAATGGAAAACCAGAAATGTAGCCAAAAATATAATAAAATTGGTTGCTGGATAAGTTCTTCTCTGCTATAAACCAGAGGGTGAAGATTTTAAGACTGACTAGTTAAATTACTTTTCTTTTTGCACAGAATAAGCAAATGTTAATACCATTATTTCTTTCTTCTAATGCAGTTAGTTGATATACTGGTATTATTTTTGACCATGATTATGACAGAAAATATTGGTATTTCCAGTCATAGTTATAAATTTAAAAAGAAGAGGCACCCCATCATAATATAAGCTAAATATAAGCTATTGGCTCACTTGGATAATTTGAATCCATCAATCAATTATAAGAACATTTTCAAATTCCCTGATTCTTAAAAAGTTTAGAGATAACTTTCTCTCTGCTTCTTCTCGTTTCAGGGTTTTAGCAGTTTTTCAGCCTAAACATGTAGACTAAATTTTGTGGAACGGAAGAGAATTCAATGGGACAGGGGGTAGGGGAGGCAGCCAGCACAGATGAAAAAATGAAGACCAAGGAAGGCAAGGCCAGGAGTGATGACCAAGAGAAACGAGTGGAAAGAATAGGACACCACATAATATGCTACACTTCAATGGCTGAATAGAGAATAGAGGGGAAGGTCAATGTTAGGGACTCCAGTTCCCCAGAGTTGACAGCTTAGGCCAGTGGTTTGAGTACCACAGAAGGCCAGAATAAAGGGGCTCTGAAGGTCAGGGCTTCAAGAGACATGTACGTAATTAAAGGTTCAACCCTAAAAGAGACAGATGAAGCTTACACAATACTTCACTCATGTGGCTTCAGGGAGCTCTGGAGTACCTCTTGCTCAAAATGATAGAATCTGATAAGAGGAACTAAGACAAGAATCACATGAAATAGTTTCACCTCAAAAAAACTGTCATTCCCATTTGGAGAATTCTCTCCTAGTTTCCACTAGGAATTTCAATGTATTCAACATTTACTAAGTACTGAGTTCAGCCATTGCAAATACAAAAATAAAAAAATAATCTGGTTCTTTTACTCCAGCAGCTCACAGTCTAGGGTAAAAACACATTTATATTATAATGTAATAAATTATGAAATGAAATTATGTAAAAAATGCTAACAGAACACAAAAGAAATTGTGATTATGAGAAGATAAACACTCTGTGACACCTGGGTTGACAGTCAAATTTAGACCTCATCACACCTGATAACAAACTATTATTTCTCCAATAGGAAAATATGATAATACCCGATGAGAAAAGTCTTCAGGTACAAAAAGACGAAGCTGTAACATTATTACCCCCCAAGAAAGAAAATGATGGTAAGTACAAATACTCTATAATCTAATTTTTTTCTAAAAGAACCTTTAAAAATAACTGCAGGAACTTTATCTTATAGTAATAAAAAATTACCTCAAGATAACAGTAAATGTAAACTGAAATTTTAGCTCCAGTGGTAAAGACAAGCAAATATATTGGGAGTGCAATCATTTGTCACCGCACACTATGAATGAGAATATGGAACAGGAGCATTCAAGAACAACCAAAGCTTAGTCCAAGCTTACCATCTACAGAATGTATGTTTATACCCAAATGAAATCAATTCCAGAAATACTTAAAGATTGATCATTTCCTGAATACAATGCACAGCCTCAGGGTAAGGTAAATAAAATGTAATTCTTGCCTTCAAGAAACTCACCGAAGAGAAATGGCTCTTTTTATAATTAATTAAAATATCCATTTCCATTAAACTAATAGAGAACTTATAGTAAAATAAGTTCCATTTAATAGTTCCTATGTATTCCATTTATCCCTGCTCTAAAATAGAACATTATTTCATACAGAAATCATGAAAAAAACACATTAATTTCTATAATGCTACAATAAATTTAAAATGAACCAAGCAGAAAATACATCTTAAAGTACCTTAGGAAAARCAGACTTAGACAAATGGTCATTCCTTGTTCTTAGATAGGATGACTCAATATCACAAAAATGGTAGTTCTAAGTTCACTAAAATTACTAAAAACTTATAAAAGCTGGAAAAACAGATTCTAAAGTTCATATGGAAAAACATGCACAAATACAGGGGGAAGCACTGAACAATGTCTGGTATATGCAGAATGAGACCTACCACACATTAAAACATATTATACTTTAAAAATTGTGAATCCTAGTGCATGAATAGATAGAAATGTAACACACAATACCAACTTAAATCACTGACACAAAAATGGTACTTTTAAAAAACTGGGGCTGGGGCTGGGGTTGTGGCTCAGTGGTAGAGCACTCGCCTAGCAGGTGCGAGGTCCTGGGTTCGATTCTCAGCACCTCATGAAAAATAAATAAAATAAAGGTATTATGTCCAACTACAACTAAAAAATAAATATTAAAAAAACTGGGGCTGGTAAAACTACACATCCATTTGAAAAGGGATATAATTAGATTCATACTTTAGACAAAAACAAAAAACAAAAACCATACTCCAAGTAGATTAGGGATCCAAATGTTTATGATGAAAATACATGCACTAGAAGGCACCCTGTGTGGCGAACACCTCAAAGTCCAGATATATTAACATAAAAGATCATTACATTTGATTCCATTAAACTTTTGCAAGCTGGGAATGATGAGATTCCAACAGCAATGGGCACACCCAGAACCGAGATCTTGGTTTCTAATACCATTCTGCACTAAAAAGAACCAGTACTTTTTGAAGAGAGAACTCACTTTAGGATTRAGGTAGGGAAAATGCAAGATTTGTCTGGGACATCTTTCTAGGCCAAAAAATAAAGACGTGCTCAAAGAATAATAGATGTGTATAATATTTTTTAAAAATTCATCAAAATGTATGAAATACACAAGTAAATATGTAGACAATATATATAAGTCCTATACACTGAAAGTCAGACAATACTGTTGAGAGAAATTAAAGAAGATTTAAATATATGGAGAAATATATTGTGTTCAAAGTCTGGAACACTTAATAACGTCAAKATATCAATTTTCCCCAAACATAAATGCAACTCAACACAACCCCAATCAAAATTCTAACAGGCATTTTCAAGATTTTATTTTTAAATTAAAAGCTGTGTCTAAATTTGTATGGAAAAAGGCAGTTGTAGTAGCATATGCCTTTAATCCCAGCAACTTAGGCAGTTAAGACAGGAGGATAACAAGTTTGAAGCCAGCCTTGGCAACTTAGCAAGATCCTGTCTCAAAATAAAAATAAAAAGGGTTGGGGATGTAGCTCAGTATATGAGTGCCTCTGGGTTCCATACCTAGTACAAAAAATAAAAAAAAAATAAAATTTATATGGATATAGAAAGCACCTATAATACTCAAAACAATGTTGAAGAAGAATAAAGTTGGAGAATTTATACGACATCATAGCAAGACTTATAAAAGTACAAGAATCAAGATATTGTGGTATTGGTGTAAAAATAAAATTTTAAAAACATCAATGGAACAAAATAAAAATCCAAGGGTTTATACAATATGGTGAACCAGTTTTTGAAAATGTGCCAACACAAATCAGTGGGGGAAAGGTTAATCTTTCCCCAAAATCATGTTGAAATACCAACAGCCATAACAGAGAAAAAAAAGATATTAACCTTTTTTATTACCATATTTACCATAAAAGTTAACTCAAAATGGACCAGTGCCTAAATGTAAAGAGCTTAAAGTATACAACTTGCGGCGGCGGGGGGGTGGGGTGGGGGTGGGGATTAAAACCTTAGTGGTTGTTGTAGTTTGAATCTAAAAATGTGCCCCCAAAATTCATGTGTTAAAGATAGCTTCCCAAGCTGATGGCACTATTAGGAGGGATGGAAACTTTAGGCAGTGGGGCCTAATGGGAGGGATTTAGGGGTGTGCCCCTTTGAGGGTATATTGGGACCCTGGGCCCATCCTCTTTCTCTCTCTGCTTCCTGGAGACTATGAGGTGAACAGCTCTGCTCCACCACATTCTCCCTGCCATGATGTTCTGCCTTGTCATAGACCCAAAAGGAATTGTGCCAACAAACGACCATGGACTGAAACCTCTGAAACTGTGAGCCAAAAATAAATCTTTCTTCAAGTTGATTCTCTCAAGTGTTTTGCCACCGTGACAGAAAGCTAACACAGGGACTACCAAATAGTTCATAAAAACAAAAGCAACAACAAAAAACATGTATATAAAGGAATCATTCATTAAAATTTAAAATATTTGTATTTCAAAAGACATTGACAAAAAATAAAAAGACAAGTTACAACTGGGGTAAACATTTATAAAACATAAATCTGACAAATGACTTATATCTAGAATACATAATCCTAAAAGTCAATAATTGTACAAAAATCCAGTAAAAAAATAGGCAAAACATATGAATAAACACTTTACCAAGGAAAATTTGTGGATGTCAAAAAAGTACATTAAAAAAATGTTCAATATTACTGTGATTAGGGAAATGCAAATTACATAATGACATACCACAATACATTCTACTTAAAGGCTAAAATTAAAAAGACYGACTATATCAAATGTTGATAAGGATATACAGCAACTAGAGTTCTCATACATTGTGGTGGAAATGTTAAAAATGGCATAGTCCCTTAGAAAATAGTTGGAGACTTTCTTCAAAAGATAAAACTTACACTCATAATACAATCCAGTAATTCCATTTCTGGGTATGTACTTGAGAAATGAAAGCATTAAGTCTACAAAAATCTGTGTATAAGTGTTCACAGAAGCTTTCTTAGAAATGGCCAAAACCTGACCCAAATGTCTATAAGAGCTGATGTATTAATTGTATACACTTAGACAATGAAATAATAAGTAATAAAGAGGAATGAATCACTGATACACTCAACAATGGTTGAATCTCAAAATAACTATGTGGAGTGAAAGAAGCCAGACAAAAGAATATATAGTGAATTATTCTTTTCTTATAAAATTCTCCTAAATTCAAAGTAATGAAAGCAGATCAGTGGTTGCTTGGCAACAAGAGTGGGAGAAAGGTATTATTAAGGGGCATGAAAAAATTTGTGGGTGGGGATGGTTATATCAATTGTCTCAATATACAGTGAAAGTCTTGTGGGTACATACATATGTCAAATACAAATTGTACAATTTAAATATATGAATTTACTCAATTAGCCATAAAAAATTGTGGGAGAAAAAGCTTTAAAAAAAAAGTTGGCTAATCCATGACAATTTGATTATTAAAACAAACATGATGGTAATTGATTATGACTCATGAATAGAAAATCCATGAATTCATATTGATATAAAAATAAATAGGAAAAGAATGGTCCACTTTACAGCAGAACACCAAATAACAAAAACATAAGGAATGATGGAATTAGATACTCGCTACTTGGCAACTATCCTAATAAGGAATGAGTCGGACCTGGAACAGTGGCACATGTCTATAATCCCAGTGGCTCAGGAGGCTGAGACAAGGGGATCCTGAGTTCAAAGCCAGCCTCAGCAATGGTGAGGCATAAGCAACTCGGTAAGACCCTGTCACTAAATAAAATACAAAATAGGTATGGGGATGTGGATCAGTGGTTGAGTGCCCCTGAGTTCAATCCCTGGTTCAAAAAAAAAAAAATCATTCAGTTAAGAATTATTGATGCATCCTAAAACAGTGGATAAAAGTTTGACAACACATCAATTTTTTTTTGTTTTTGTCTCAAAGTACTTCTCCAAAAGATATTATTAATTACAAGGTGAAAAATAGTAACCTTACAGAGTGAGAAACATGGCAGACCCATTTTAGCCATATGACCAAAAACATTATCAGGAATGAGACAGATACCAAGTGTCTCCTGATACGCAACACTGAGGACACAACACCATTTTCAAGATATTCCAGCCAAAAAATGAAACTCTCAGACAAACCCTAATACAAAGAAATTCTGCAAAATAAATGTCAGGGGACAGCAGGGGATGGAGGGTTTTCACTTTTCAAAAATGATACAAAAAACAAAGACTAAGGAACTATTCCAGGTTAAAAGAAAAAGGTGGGATAAATAAATGCAATCAATGAGTTGGGGCACAAATAACTTCCCAAGTTACCCTGAGGCAACTCAAGTAGAATTCAGACCTGGGATCTGAACAGTGCCTGTGATGACTTCTAATTTTCAAATTAATATTTTGCTCATTCAACTAGTGATTTCTAAAGACTTTAATCACTGTCACCAATCTGAAATAAATTTATAGATTTAAATTTTTTTTAGACCTTAAAAATTYTAATTATCAAGCACAATGTAGGTCACTGGCTACCATTACTAAATAAATATGCTTACTACTATCATCTATGATTCTGTCAAATACCTTTTCAAATTAGTAATAACATTTTTAATACCAACAATTTTAGCACTAGAGGCTAAATATTTTCAAACTGCTTTTTATACTTTCATGACTTTGTTTCCCAATTTAGAAATGCCCACGTGCCTCTTATGTGTTTGTTTAAGTGGCTCTGTGTACTGTGAAGAAGTTGACATCGATGCTGTACCACCCTTGCCAAAGGAATCAGCCTATCTTTATGCACGATTCAATAAAATTAAAAAGCTGACTGCTAAAGATTTCGCAGACATGCGTAAGTTAAGTTTAAATACGATAGTAGTACTAACTCCTATAAAGAAGTTTGTACATACTTATAGCCTGCCACATATGGAGTTGTCACAAAAATGACTGGTTTGTTGGTACGTATTCTTTCCACTCTGACTTTCTCTGTCATCTTTCTTTACTGGTGATTGATGTCTGTGTCGACAGCCTAACAAACGAACAGCAGTAATTTTTCAACCCTCATAACTCAAGATCCACTTTGCAGACTGAGAGTATAACTCAGTGGCAGAGAGCTGGCCTAGCATGCATCAAGCCCTGGGTTCAATCTCCAGAACTTCTAAAAAGAAAAAGGAAGGAAGGATGGATCCATTGCTTCAGATAGTGAGCACCACCAATRTAACTACAATACTTCTCTAACCATGTTTTATATTCCACCTTTTCTGTGAAAGCACAGGAACTGCTTTTCTTCATTTTAACTCATGTTTTATAAACCTGGCTATATATTAAAAATATCTGGGCAAGTATTTTTAAAATACTAATACAAAGCTGTATTTCCTAGAGGTTCTAATCCAGGATGTGGCAGAGGCCAGGCATCATCATTAAAAAGAACCAAACTTCTTTGTTGCAAATAGTGGCATTTAACTTTCCCAGGTCATTAATGATGTTAAACTCCTGGATTCCTATTAAACCTTAACCCAACAAGGGTGATATCATTCGTATAGCAGAAGGCTCTACCTCTTCAGTGTAAAACCTCAGTTCTGGATCATTGATTTCTTGTCAGTTTCTTAGACTCTGTAGCTCAGTGGTAGAGTGCTTGCCTAGCACATGCAAGACCCTGGGTTCGATCCTCAGTWCCACATAAAAATAAATAAATAAAAGGTATTGTGTCCATCTACAATTAAAAATATATATACTAAAAAAAAAATCACACACACACAGGAATGTGCACTGACCTCATTATACATTTACTGTATTAACTATAACTGCATTCATGCTGCCAATAGTATCTCCCAACTGTGGAATGAAGTACATTTCATCCTCATGATTTGGGATCCCTTATTTGCAAATTAACCTACTTGCTAAAGTCTTTTTGTAACCTCCAAGTCAATACACATGATACTTTCGTGATCATTAGCAGATACGAATGGAGCAGCAAAAAAAAAAAAAAAATGAGTTATTTAAAATGAGCATCCCCAGCTGAGGCTGAACAAAGCAAAACTCTCTTCTGATTTCAGCTCTTATACTGTAAATAAATGCTTATTCAGTCTATTTAGTGACATGTTTTCTGTAGTTTTATCCTTTTTATTGATAATTTTACTGTTGAAAAGAGCCCAAGACTAGTACTGCAGTGCTCCATAGCATTTCTAAGTGCAGGAAGGCTGTGATATGCTTTACAGAGAAAATACATGTGCCCAATAAACTACATTCAGGCATAAGGTAATAGTGCAATGTTAATGAGCCAACATTGTACATTAAAAAAATTATCTTTAAATAAAAACACATAACAGCAGCAACTGGTTGACAAAAATAATTGACAAAAGGCTCATGGGAACCTAACCTTGTAATTCCCCTAGGAGCAATGGTTCAGTTTTCATTAATTTAATATTTGTAACAACATTATAGAGATGACTATTGTGGCCTGGCACAGTGGTACATACTTGTAATTCCAGCTACTTGGAAAGTCAAGGTAGGAGGAACACAAGTCTAAAAGCCAGCTTCAGCTAGTTGGCAAGACCTTGTCTCAAAATTTGAAAATTTAAAAAAGAGCTGGGAATGTGCACACGAGGCGTGGTTGTGCACATCTGTAATCCCAGAAGCTTGGGAGGCTGAAACAGGAGGATTGTGAGTTCAAAAGCAGTCTTAGCAACTTAGTGAGGCCTTAAGCAACTCGTTAGACCCTGTCTCTAAATAAAACATAAGGGCTGGGGATGTGGCTCAGTGGTAGAAGACCCCTGGGTTCCATTCCTAGTACCAAAGGGGGAGGAGAAAAACTACTGTGAATGAGTACCAACTGTATTTCTCAATCATCTTGGAAAAAGTGATATGCACATACATATGCACACTGAATTTCTCAATCTCTCAATCTGCATGACTGTTGCAAATCAGGGAACACTTAAGTAATAAGGCTTAGAAAGATTAAGGTAACATACCCACAATTACAATGCAATGTGCTGGCCAAAATTTTTTTTCAAAAGCACTAATTACATGATTCCAGTCAATCTAATGTTATGCTTACTTCCCATGATTTGCAATAAGAATTTATTTCAATCTGCCTATGCATCCTGAGAAATTCAAATAGAGAACTATGGAAAGACTACTTAAAATCTCTTCCAAACCTGAGATTCTTGGACTTCAGTTAGACAAAGCATTATCGTTAGACACAAAGAGACATTCGGTGTTCAACAAAATTCTACCGATGCAGCTTGACATGTATCACATAGTAGAGAYTGACTAGCATGTGCAAGACCTGAAGTTCAATTCTTAGCACCATCCACACAAATGATAACCACAGTAAACTTTCCTGARTAGACACTCTAGTAGGCACTAAAGAAAAGATGTGATCCATTAAACAAATGCTTTCTTCAGGCAACAACAAGATTTTTTTTTTCCCCCTCAAGCTAACTTAAGAAGACTTGATTTTACTGGAAACTTGATAGAAGACATAGAAGATGGTACTTTTTCAAAACTTTCTCTGTTAGAAGAGCTTTCGCTTGCTGAAAATCAACTACTGAAACTTCCAGTTCTTCCTCCAAAGCTTACTTTATTTAATGCAAAATACAACAAAATCAAGAGCAGAGGGATCAAAGCAAATACATTCAAAGTAAGTATTTCATCATATGGCTGAACACAGTATCAGCGATAATATATCAAAAGAGAGAAACTTTGGTCAGTAATTCTGTTTTGATTACTTATTTTTTCTTTCTTCTTCTTCTTCTTCTTTTTTTGAAATGCTCTAGCTATCTTGCCTGCCTTGAACTCCTGGGTTCAAATGATCCTCCTACCTCAGACTCCAGAGTTGCTGAGATGACAGGGGTGTGACACCTCATGGGATTTTGTTTGGATGACCATTTAAAACTATTTTGATGAAATAAATGAAGATATTTCTTTCATAACAAAGAGCCTTTATACATTATACAATRTATAATGTGTCCATAAATATATAGTCTCTTGAAAATGTTAAAATATTTCACTTCTCTTCCCTTTTTTGTTTATATTTAAGATCTCCTTTCTCAATTTTAAGAGAGATTTTAAAGTTAGATCAGAGTTCCTGATATGTTTCTGATAAGGAACTCAGAAGTTAAGAGGCTTTTAGCAGACTTTTTAAAAGCATACTCACTTTTTAAAACTTGTAATTTCAAGATATAAATTTAAGTAGGGCATCTTTGAATAATTGGCATACTAAAGACTTACCAAGATAATCAACATTTCATTAAAAAACAAAAAAATGTTGAGCTGGGCACAGTATCACATGCCTATAGTCAATATTATTTGGAATGCTGCAGCAGGAGAATCATTTGAGCCCAGGAGTTTAAGGCCAGCCTAGGCAAGACAGTGAGACTCCTTATGGGGGCAGGGGGTGAGGAATGTTTCAAGTACTTGTGGTTTTACACATATAGAGAGGATTCATGACAGCTTGAATGAAAATGATAAATTTGGCCTTTTTGTAGCTTTGCTAAATGCCCTAGGATTATAACAGACACTAGTAAAATAAGGTTACTATAATTCACATAAATGAGACCCACTGGGAAGATAGGTGCTTGTTACCCATATGTTGGAAAAGCAGGATGCTTTTACAAAGGAATTTAATAGTACAGAAAAGAATTAGCAAGATCTGATACAGAATGCATATCAAAGTTAAGGTAAAAGAGCAATATCTAGGAAAACTATAGTGTATAATTATACACTTTAATGAGTTAGTGTTCATGAAGAGTAACCCAACATGAATTCCTTATGGAAAAAGCCATAGCAAGTTAAGTGTTTCATAAATTGCTTCAGGAAACATGTTGTTCAACATACATCTGTTAGGTGTGACTGCTTCACTACAAGTTGGTGGAGTTGAAATGGGAAGCTTCAGAAGATCAAGAGAGGTTAGGACAGCAACAGGATCCAAAAAGCAATTTCCCACAGTAAGTGAACTCATTAAGCTGTTTCCAGGACAAATTCAAAGGGCCCAGAAAGATCATGGCATCAAAGCTTGGTATTCAGAGATGAGATGAATGGACAGAAACTTGAGGTAAGAAGCAGAGCTTTGCTGGTCATCATAAAGGCCATAAAGGACCAAAATACACTAGTTGTGAAGCCAAACAGTGATGACCAAAACAAGAAACTATCATACCAAGCATATGTACTATTGATATTGTTCATACCAATATTCTTTTATAGAAATTGCTTGAATCCAGTGAAGGAATACACAAACCTCAATAACACTCCAACTAAATTTTCCTTTCAGAAATTGAATAATCTCTCCTTCCTCTACCTGGACCATAATTCCCTGGAATCTGTGCCTCCTAAYTTACCAGAAAGTCTACGTATAATTCATCTTCAGGTATAATTGCTCTTTTCACAATCTCTGGCTTTGAGTACCTATGGGTCATTCTTAAAATTCACTGGGAGAGTCACTTGTAAATTACGGTTAGATGACTACGGCAGTGCAATAGCTCAATGTTCATCAAAAGTATTAATATTTAGTCAAATGAACCCTCCTGCCCAGAAGCTGAGATTAGAACCAGACCAGCCACTGGTTACACTCACTACAGGTGTAAAGTATGCTCTTAAGTGAAATTTGTGTCCAATGTACACTTGGCATCTCTTAGCTAATCTTAACTCATGGACTTACAGTGAGGGGGCACTGGGACCTCTAATTCATGTCTCTTTCTCCAAACAGGTAAACATTTCTAAGTACAACATCAAGTAGGGAATGCAAAAGTGAAGGAGGAATGAAAACAAAAAACTGAAATTGTTTTTTCAGAATCCTAAGAATTCCAACTTGCATTACTTCCTTAGAGAATACCTAAGGACACAGTACATTTTTGGAAGTGACACTCTAGAATAGGATACTTTCTCCATTTAATATAAGCCTATTTACATTCAGAACTTTGTGTTACACAAAAATTACTCTTAATAATTGATAGACTATTCTTCCAAAATATCATTGTACACTTAAAAASGGGTGCTCAGACTGCATAGTTTTATTATCATGCAGTATATGATATTTAATACTTTTTTGAAAAAATATTCCATGGGATCCTACTACATAGCAACAGATGGTTGATTCCAGATTTATGATCAATTTTTATTTCCTTTTGTTTTTCAGTTTAACAACATAACTTCAATTACAGATGATACATTCTGCAAGGCTAATGACACTCGTTACATTCGAGATCGGATCGAAGAGATTCGCCTGGAGGGCAACCCAATCATCCTGGGAAAGCATCCAAACAGTTTTATTTGCTTAAAAAGACTACCTATAGGGTCATACTTTTAATCACTATCAATACAGCTTGTAAGCTAAAGTACTCATACATATAATCTGTCTAAACATTATCTAAAGGATCATAAATACTGGTTTAATATTAACTTTTTATCCCACTGAGATGGAATTTTATGTTTTAAACAAAGATGTTGAACAATCTTACATAACTGAATCTCTAAGTTCAAAGTAATGTAATGTGAAAATATTTAAACAGCACTAGAAAACCCCTCTTGTTTACACTAGACTACCATTTAAAAGGCATGTTTTTATATAAATACCATTTGGATGTTATTACTCCCCTTACTAATAAAGGAAGAGAAGAAGTCCAAGAAACTTTCAACTGTCTTTCCTGTCCTTTACTGTATCTCAAAAACATTTAAGGCAGATTTTCCAAAAACTTCAAAAAGCTAAATGTTCCCAGTGATCTCCAATGTTTTTTCTTTTATGATTCATCATTATTTATTATGAAGTAGGAACTTTGATTTCTTCCCATCAAGGCAGCTATTTTAGTCATATTTTCACTTAGTCTAAGAAAAAGGAGATAGTCTCATGCTTCAGCAAAATTTTCCAAAAGTAGAATTTTATTCTTTGATAAAGACCTAATATAGAAAGGTTCACAGTGTTCTGCTTTGTGGTTATACAATTAAAATCTTAAATAGTAAACATTTTTCTTTTATATAAATATTAACATTCTAAGCCTACCATAAAACATTTAAAAAGTCAAACAAGTTAAAACCACTAAGCTTCTAAGAAAAATCAAGTCTATCCCATTTCTCAGAGAATAAGATTCCTCCACTGTACAGATTTTCAAATATGAAATAATAGCAAAATATTTTCTTTTTACATTATAGGAATGAGGGTCTCATAAATAAATTTGTTCAAAGATGAGAAATGAAAACAAAGTGTCTTCTGTGGGGTCACTGAACACCATGTGCCACCTGCCCATACATACACACATTCACCCAAACAAACTGAAAATTCGTAGCAAAGCTTCTCAGCAACATTCTCATGTTTTAGAAACATGAGTCTGATCTGTATACGTAAAAGTACCAATGACATTTCCATTATAAAGTATACACTGGAATTGGAAATGTCTTTATATTATACTATTCCTGGAACACTTACTTATTTCCATTAAAAATTTTTTTTAATATATTTTCTTTTCTTTAAAATATATTTTTTTAGTTGTAGTTGGACACAATAGATTTTATTTATTTATTTTTATGTGGTGCTGAGGATCGAACCCAGCACCTCACAAGTGCTAGGCGAGTGCTCTACCACTGAGCCACAACCCCAACCCCTACTTATTCCCATTTTTAACCATTTACTTGTTTTTYCCCCTACCTAGAATGACCCTTCCCACATTTGTCTAGGTAGATGCCAAAATAAAACTTTTTCATTTAAGCATCAGTGATGTCTTAAGGCCACGATTGCTAATCTAATAATGCTTATTAACTTATTCATTGATTGTGGTAATTGATGAGCATAGGTATTTTGTGTGTTTACCCCATTTCTCTATGACTGAATGCTCACTGAAAAGCCTGGACACCACTTTATCTTCTAAGAAGCCTAGCACAATATCAAGCACATTGGAATTAAACATACAATAAATATTGTAAAATCCACCCAAACAGAAGGGTTCTATTTTATTTGGAAAATAGCCATCTTTAAACTATCATAATCATGAATAAATCAATGAAAATAAACTATACCTGTATCCAGGAATACACACCTAATAAACAAAGGCTTGGTGAAAAGGCTGAATCTAGGGAGGTGTTAAGTTTCTCGTTTTCAGAAGAATGATATTTTTTCTATATTCTTTTCATAATAAAACATACTGAGAAAAGCACCATGAAATAAATCACACATTAAAGAAAATTAAGTCTGTAGTTAATCTGAATTAATGAATTTTCTTAAAGAAATAATTTTGGGACTTCTAGGTAAGAAGATATAACATTGTATCTTCATCTACACATCCTTAAAATAAAAAATACAAATTGTACCACCGAGAAGGTAAAAGCAGAAATAATAAAGTAAAAATGAGATTCCATTATATTATGTAGATGTTTCATTCTTGATAATAAGAAAAGAGGCTTAAAATTAAAAATGATTTACTCCTTACAACTACAATCTCCAGATTCAAAGCAATTCTTATGAAGGCCACAATTTTTTTTTCAGAAATAGAAAAATTCACTCTAAAATTCATATGGGAGCTCAACAGACTGCAAGTAAACAAAAGAATATTGAAAAGAAAAAAGGGAATTCTCACACTTCCTTAATTTCAAAACTTACTATAAGCTACAGTCATCAAAATAATGTGATACTGTCATAAATACAGATATATAACCAATAAAATAGACTAATGAGTCCAGAAATAAATACTTGACATATGGTCAAATGATTTTCAAAAGGGGTAGCAAGACCACTCAATGGAGAAAGGACAGTCTCTTCAACATAAGCTGCTGGGAAAACTGCATACTCACATGCAAAAGAATGCCTTACCTTACACCACAAACAAAACTTAATCCAAACTTAGCGCAGTGACACATGCTTATAATACTAGCGGTTCTGGAGGCTGAGGCAGGAGGATCTCAAGTTCATTCTATTTATTTATCTACTTAATTTGTACTTTTTAGATATATATGACAGTAGAGTATATTTTGACAGATTATACATACTTGGAGTATAACTTATTCTAATTAGTATACCATTCTTGARATTGTACATGATGTGGAATTTCTCTAGAGGTGTATTCATATGTGAGCATAGGAAAGTTATGTCCAATTAATTCCACTGTCTTTTCTTTTCTTTTCCCAYCCCCACTCCCTTGCCTTCATTCTCCTTTGTCTAATTCACTGAATTTTATTCTTCCCCTCCTCCACTTATTGTGTTGTTATATATATACATATCAGAGAGAACACATGATCTTTGGATCTTGGGATTGCCTTATTTCACTTAGCATGATAGTTTACAGGTCCATCCATTTACCAATAAAAATCATTTTTAAGGTTGAGTAATATTCCACTGTGTATACACACCACATTTTCTTCATCTGTTGAAGGGAAACTAACCTAGTAGGTTAGCTATTGTGAGTTGTGCTGCTATAAACATTGCCAATACAAAAAATCGTTATAAAAGCAGGCATTGTGCAAAATCATGTGGGATGATAAAGATTAAGTCTTCAGATGCAAAGAATTACATGTTCATTACACAGATCATTTTATTTGTTATACAGTGATATAAAACATTAAAATAGAATGACTGGTAAACACTGGGCAGACAAATTTCAGATTTGTTCTTTTCCCAAGGATGTCATGGACTTCAGAGCCAGGAGACTACTTGGAATCAAATCTTGGCTCTGCTGCTTCCTTTTTTTTTTTTTTTTTTTTTAGTTTTTTGTGTTCTTTTTAGTTATACATAACAGTAGAATATTTTGACATATTATACATAAATGTACAACTTCCCATTCTGTGGTTGTACATGATGGGGAGTTACAATGGTCATGTATTCATATACTAACAWAAGAAACTTATGTCCAATTCATCCACTGTCTTTCCTATTCCCATACCTCTCCCTTCCCTTTATTCCCATACCTTCTCCCTTCCCTTTATTCCCTTTTGTCTAAACCAAAGTACCTCTATTCTCCCCCCAACCCTTATTATGTGATACCGTCCACAATATCAGAGAGAACATTCGGCCTTTGGTTTTTTAAAGATTGGTTTATTTCACCTAGCATGATAAGCCTCCAGTTCCATCCATTTAACTGTAGAGGCCAAACTTTCATTCTTCATTATGGCTAAGTAACGTTCCATTGTGTATCCGTACCACATTCTCTTTATCCATTTATCTGTTGACGGGTACCTAGATTGGTTCCCTGGCTTAGCTATTGTGAATTGAGCTGCTAAAAACATTAATGTGGCTGTGCCACTGCAGTATGCTGATTTTAATTCCTTTGGGATAACTGGGTCAAACTGTGGTTTCATTCCAAGTTTTCTGAGGAATCTCCATGCACCAGTTTGCAGTCCCACCAGGAATATATGAGTGTACCTTTTCCCCCACACCCTCACCAACATTTACTGTTACTTGTATTCTTGATAATTGCCACTCTGACTGGAGTAAGATGAAATCTCAGTGTAGTTTTGATTTGCATTTATCTACTTGTTAGAGATTTGAACATTTTTTTAATATATTTGTTCACCGATTGTATTTCTTTTGCTGTGAAGTATCTATTCAGTTCCTTTGCCCATTTACTGATTGGGTTATTTGTTTTTCTGGTGTTAACTTTTTTTAAATTTTTTATATATCCTGAAGATTATTGCTCTGAGGTGGAAGTGGCAAAGATTTTAGGAGAAATACAAGTTCAAAGCCAGCCTCAGCAACTTAGTGAGGCCCTAAGCAACTTAGTAAGACCTTGTCTCAAAATAAAAAATAAAAAGAGGGGCTAGGGTTGAAGATCAGTGGTAAAGCACTTGCCTAGCTTGTATAAGGCACTGAGTTCAAGCCTTAGCACCACATAAATAAATAAATAAATAAATAAATAAATAAAGGCAATGTATCTGTCTACAACTAAAAATAGAAAAAGAATTGAAGTATGGACAGTTCAATAAATAAATAAATAAATAAATAAATAAATAAATAAATAAATAAATAAATAAAGCAGAGATGTGTCTCAGTGGTTAAGTGCCCCTGGGTTCAATTCCTGGTACCATAAACAAACATACAAACAACAACAACAACAAAAATCAAATACATAGCCTTCAGAGCTAAATTATTAAATTTTGAAAAGAAAACAGAAATAAATCTTTATGACAATTAATATAGTAATAGTTTATTGAATAGGACACAAAAAACACAGGCCATAAAGAAACATGTGAGAAACAGTTTTTTATGAAAATTAAAAATTTCTGTGCATTAACACTCCTTGGTCTATACCCAAAGGACTTAAAATCAGCATACTACAGTGACGCAGCCACATCAATGTTTATACCAGCTCAATTCATAATACCTAAACTATGGAGACAACTTAAATGTCCTTCAATAGAAGAATGGATAAGGAAAATGTGGTATATATATTCAATGGAATACTATTACTGAGCCATAAAGAAGAATGAAATTATGGCATTTGCTGGTAAATGGATGGAGTTGGAGAATATCATGCTAAGTGAAATACACCAATCCCAAAAGACCAAAGACCAAATGTTTCCTCTGATATGAAGATGCTAATTCACAATAAATTGAGGGGTACTAGAGAAGAACAGAATTAACTTAGATTAGGTAGCGGGGAGTGAAAGAAGTGGAGGAAGGGAATACATGGAWAGGAAGAATAGTAGAATGGTACAGACATTATTACCTTATGTATATGTATGACTGCATGACTGATGTGATTCTACAACATGTACAATCAGAAAAATGAGAAATTATACTTCACCTATGTATGATATACCAAAATGTATAAATGCATTCTATTGTTATGTATAACTAAAACAAAATTTTTTTTAAAAAAAGACACTGTCTTCATCCAGAGAAAGAAACTACATATATATAAGAGAAACCAATTTCTACCATATATATATATATATGAAACTTTACAATTCAACAACAACAAAAATCCTAATTCAAAAATGGAGAAAGAACTTACCCATTAAATATATTAATGGCCAAGAAGCACAAGAAAAGACATTAGCATTGCTAATCTACTAGGAAGAGGCAAATCAAAACCACAATGAGATATCACTACACACCTATTAGACTACTAACAAAACAACAACAACAAAAAAAAACAACAACAACAAAAAAAAAAAAACAGAAAATACCAAGTGTTGGAGAGGTTTTGGAGAAACTGGAACCCTTATATTGGTTAATAGGATGTAAAATGGCACAGCTGCTGTGGAAACCAGTTTGTGATTCTTCCAAAAATTCAACTTAGAACTATCCTATGATTCAGCAATTCCATGTCCAGATAAATACTTAAAAATTCTAGGCAGGGACATGTGAAGAGATATTGGTACATATATGTTCAGAGCCACATTATTCTAACAGCCAAAACATGGAAACAACCCAAGTGCCCATCCACAGACAAATGGATAAGCAAAACGTGATACATCCACACAAGAAAATATTCAGCCTTAAAAAGGAAACCTGAAACATGCTGCAACACTGATAAACGATGATGTGAACTAATCCAGACCAAAAGTCAACTCCTCTTGTATGAGGTACCTGGAATACTCAAATTCACAGAACCAGAAAACATAAAACTGTTTACCAGGGGATGGGGCAAGGAGGGAATGGGAACTGATGGGTACAGAGTTTCAGTTTTGGATAATGCAAAATATACAGAGAAGATTAATGGTGATGGCTGTAGAAAAAAAAAAAATCAATGCTTTTTTCAATCCTAGTTATATTATCACCAGCAAAAGCCAGCTCATGGAGTGCTCTATCCTCTATAGAATCAACATACCAATCATACTTCTTCACTTGCCTGGAGAGCAGCTAGAGTCAAAACAGCTTAGGAAATGGGGACCACAGCTCACAGTTACCATCAGCCACTCAGGTGCATAATGAAACAGCAGTACTGGGTGACTCATTCACTACCTCAACTGCCAGCAAATCTCCCAGTCATTATATTTTACCAGTTGTGAAACACAGATATTTAATTGTCCTAGCACAAGACTACATATAAGAAAATATGACAAAATCATGAAAACACCTCAAGGAACCATAGTATGGGAAATGACCATGTTTCATTCTGAAGAAAATCCTCTGCCTGACAAATTTTATTAGCTATGCCAAAGAGAATAAATCTTATAATAATAGTAAAAAAGGAATAGAGCCCAAAATAAAGAGGAGTTAGTATCAATCTTAAAAACAACAGTCATGACCATTAGGCTTTTTAAGGAACATGAACCTTAAAATTTTATGTTGACTCTTTCACAGGTGGTTTTTGTATGATTCACTGCTGTCAATAATGTGATACCATCAAGCTAAGAAAGACCTGAATGATTACCGAACAGCCAAACAATTCTGGTTACACCCACAAAACAAATAAAAACAAGTGCTTTAAAGTCTCTCCACCAGCCCAAAGACTCATTACTTCACAAAACAGACTTCAATATTTAAACTAAAAATGTGCAAGAATCAAAAGATTCAAAATACAGTCTGGATCAGGAAGTTAAGATTATAGTACTTCATGACAAGCCTGCTCTGACTGTATTTTTTAGTAGAATTTATTATTTTATTTCAAGTACCCTTGAAAGACTGATTTTTCAAAATGTACATCTTAAAATACATTAAAATTTTACTCTATTTCTTTTAAAACATCCCACAATATAAATTAGTCACTAGTTTATACTGAAGCTTCTTCTCAATTTATTACAAAGAACTGCAAATTCCTGAAGTCAATGGAAATATTTTCTCTTCTTTGAAAACTTTTGAGAAAACTATGCTATGATTGAATCTCCAAATTTACAACCAGTTTCATTTTCCATATATGTTTAAATTCAAAGACTTTAAACTTTACCTTAAAATGTTTAAATGTGCGCTTACGACACTTGTACCACTCCACAAAAAAATGTAGGCTTCGGAAGAACATGAATAAATCTCTTTTTTCTTCAGCTCTGTAGAAATAAGAGAGTATGATTAATAAATACTATTAAATGATAGACCAAATCTAGCTTTACTTCTTATTCTTCCTTTATATGTTCTATGCTAACATTAAAAAAGTACTGGATATACTTCTACATACTAAACCTTGAACTTCTGCATGTTTTTCACTCTATGATTGCTACTATCTCAGCCTGAAATGCCCTTTCCAAAAGTTTAAGTCCTATCAGTCTTTCAAATGCCACATTAGTAAAAGAATGGACTTGGACTAGCGAGACCTCCAGGAAGAAAGAGTACTGATGAGTGAGCTCAATCACATGGCCAATAATTTAATCAATCATGCCTATGTAAACCCAAATAAAAACTCTGAACCTAGGAGCTCAGTGTAACTTCCTGACTGGGGAACATTTTGATTTGCTGGGAGGGTGATATGCTAGATTCTACAAGAAAGATGTCTATTCCCAGCCCCTTGCCCTTCCTCTCACAGCCACCAGCGATGTATGTGCTGCTTGCATTTGGTTGTTTCTAAATTTTAACCTTAATAATAAAATGGTAATTATGAGCATAGTGTTTTCAGTAAGCTCCTCATGGTTTTAGCAACTATTGAACCTAGGGGCCTAACAGGAACTCCTGAATTCATAGCCTATCAGTTATTAATGCAGGTGGACCCTAAAACTTGAAGCTGGGGTCTAAAAGGAGGCAGTCTTGTGGAGGACCTTACCCATAACYATAAGTGTCACAACTAAACTATATTGCATAATTCCTGCACCACATATCCTATTCCCTAATAGCTATAAATAATTTCACTTCTTTCCCTATGAGCTCCCATAGAAATCTGTCTTAATTCACCTAATACTTTATCTATTGTAACACTGTCAGCCACATAAACTATGAGCAAATTGGGGCCAAAATCTGTTAGTCCAATTTATTCATTCACTAAATAAATGCTTGTTGGAATCGAGTTCCTGTTCAAGCTATAATGGAGTAAGCACACCAACTGAAAAGCTCCCATTAACTATAACTGAAAACACTGGACACACAGAGAAAGCAAACATCAGAAGATCTGAAATTTTGGCAGAAAAAAAGCAGAATTGGTAGTATTCTGGAATCTAAGAAAGACCTGATGATGAATTCCTTGGAGTTTATTTTTGCCTCCTATATATACCAGTTTGGATACTTGAGCTGCCTATAACCCAGAACTACCAAAGGGTGCAGATAAAACAACAACCACAAGAAGTTAGGGAAAGACCTCTCCCTTTAGCCAGCAGAGGGGGGCACTGCAGAATGGAACCCTAATACTGCATTCCTTTGGCTCCCAAACAAATACTCTAATCCCAGCAGCTTAGAAGGCTGAGGCAGGAGAATTGCAGTTTTGAGGCCAGCCTCAGCAACTTAGGGAGACCTAGTCTCAAAATTCAAAAAAAAAAAAAAAGAATAAAAAGGGCTATGGATGTGGCTCAGTGGTTAAACACCCCTTGGTTTAATTCCTGATACAAAAAAAAAAAAAAAAAAGAGGTTAAAATTACCATAGCTCAAGTGAAATTATCCAGCTCAAGAAAAGAAAAAAAAAAGAATAAAGAAAATAAACAAGCCTAAGAGATTTGGGGGACACCTAAAAGAATACCAAAATACATATAACGGAGTTCACAGAAGGAGCGCTAAGAAAGAAAAGGTCTCAAAGCAATCTCAAGAAATAATGGTCAACTAGACAAAGGTGCCAAAAACACACACTGGACAAAAGATAGCCTCTTCAACAAATGGTGCTGGGAAAACTGGATGTCCATATGCAGCAAAATGAAACTAAACCCCTATCTCTCACCATGCATGAAACTCAACTCAAAGTGGATCAGGGACCTGGGAATTAGACCAGAGAACCTATGTCTAATAGAAGAAAAAGTAGGTCCAAATCTTTATCATGTCAGATTAGGTCCTGACTTAACAAGACTCCTAAAGCACAAGAAATAAAAATCAAGAATCAATAAATGGGATGAATTCAAATTAAAAAGCTTCTTCTCAGCAAAAAGAAATAATCAAAGAGGTGAAGAGATAGYCTACGGTATGGGAGCAAATTTTTACCACACATACATCAGATAGAGCACTAATCTCCAGGATATATAAAGAACTCAAAAAACTTAACACCAATAAAACAACCCAATCAATAAATGAGCTAAGGACCTAAACAGACACTTCTCAGAAGAAGATATACAATAGATCAACAAGTATATGAAAAAGTGTTCAACATCTCTAGTAATTACAGAAATGCAAATCAAAACTACTCTAAGATTTCATCTCCTCCCAGTCAGAAGGACAGTCATCAAGAATACAAGCAACAGCTCTTCAGTCTCGGACATAAGTCGCAGCGACATGGCTAAACACACTAAGAAATTCGGAATCGTCGGTAAATATGGGACCCGCTACAGTGCCTCCCTCCGGAAAATAGTGAAGAAAATTGAAATCAGCCGGCTCGCCAAGTATACTTGTTCTTTCTGTGGCAAAACCAAGATGAAGAGATGGGTTRTGGGGATCTGGGACTGTGGTTTCTGCATAAAAATAGTGGTTAGTGGTGCTTGGACCTACAACACCACTTCTGCTGTCACAGTCAAGTCTGCAACCAGAAGGCTGAAGGAACTGAAAAACCAGTAGAAAGTTCTACCATATAGCAAAATTGTGGCTTGTTGTAAATTGTGTTCACTGGATGTTCTGATGTGAATTGCATTAATATTGCCCTTTCAAAAGAGATTTGTAAATTGAAGCCCTTCTCATTTGAATTGGAAAATTTTGTTGAGATGGGTTATTGTAATTCAGGTGTTTTTCCCCCATTAGTCAGATGACAATGGCATGAAACTAAGTCTTACAGCTTAGGTATATACTTAGCTTTTTTTGTGTTGTTTTGTTTTTTTAAACCACTGTTCAATGACTCAGATATGTTGACATATTGTACAAAATTTGTTTTAAAGGTGAAATGTGGTAAAATACACAAAGGATATACATAAAAAAAAAGAATACAAGCAACAATAAGTGTTGGTGAGGATGTGGGGGGAAAGGTACACTCATATACTGCTGGTAGGACTGCAAATTGGTGCAACCAATCTGGAAAGCAGTATGGAGATACCTCAGAAAACTTCTAATGGAATCACCATTTGATCCAGCTATCCAACTCCTTGGTCTATACCCAAAGGACTTAAAAACAGCATACTACAGTGATGCAGCCACATCAATATTTACAGCATTCAATTCATAACAGCCAAACTGTGGAACCAACCTAGATGCCCTTCAATAGATGAATGGATAAAGAAACTGTGGTATATATACCCAATGGAATATTACTCAGTAATAAGAGAGAATAAAAAATTATGGCATTTGCAGGTAAATGGATGGAGTTAGAGAATATCATGCTAAGTRAAGTAAGCCAATTCCAAAAAAGCGAAGGCCAAATGTTTTCTCTGATAAGTGGATGCTAATCCATAATGGGGCAGTGGGGAGCATGGGATRAATAGAGGAACTTTGGATTGGCCAAAGGGGAGAGAGGAGTGGGAAGGGGGCATGGGGATAGGAAAGATGGTGGAATAAGATGGGCATCATTACCCTAGGTACATGTATGATCACACGAATGSTGTGACCCTACTTTTGTGCATAATAAAAGAGCATTCTGCTGTCATGTATAACTGATCAGAACAACAACAACAAAAAGAAATAATAGTCAAAGACCACCAATTAAGCCCCARAAGTTAATATATACACCCAGGAGCTCAAAAACTTCAGGGAGAATAAACTCAAGGAGATCTACACCAAGACACATTATACTCAATCTGTTAAAAGCCAAAGAAAAAGATAATTCAGGAGAAAAATGACTTGTCATACAAGAAATCATTTTATAGCTGACAAGTGATTTATTATTCCAACACAGGAATTCTGGGGGAACAAACTATAGTCAAACTGCAGCATTTGTTATCAGAAGTGATAAGTGTTATGAATATATAGGGTGAGTGTATAGTAGGAGAAATTGAGTCTGAGTTATTTTTTTTTAGTAAACAAAATAGGAACTAAAAGAGATATGAAGATTCTATCCTATCATCAGATGAAAAAACAGACCTTAAATAAAAATTAATACATGAGGCAGAGAATTACATTAGATATTGATAAAAGGGTCAGGCTATCAAGAAGATATAACAATTATAAACATACTCTCATCCAACAACAGACCCCCCAAATATGTGAACTATAATTTGACAGAGTTAAAGATAGAAATAGTTCAAAAATAACAATTGGACACTTGAACTACCCACTTTCAATAATGGACAGAGCAGCTAGAATAGAAAATCAATAAGGAAACCAAAGATTTGAACAACACTGTTAACCACTCGACCCAAAAGGCATATCAAAACATTATACTCAACAACAGTAGAATATATATTGTTCTCTATTGATACCTTCTTCAGGAAAGACCATATGTTAGGTCACAAAACAAGTTTAAACAAGTAACAAAATATGGAAATAATATATTTCTAGGAACAATAGAATAAAAGTAGAAATCAATAAGAAAACTTAATAGATTTAGAAAATTCACAAGGATGTGTAAACTATACAAAATACTCTTAAACAGCAAGTCAAGAAGAATCGTAAGAAAGAATCAGAAAATACTTGGACATAAGTTGAAATAAAAATATAACATAGTAAAACTTATGCGGCACAAAATCAGTGTAAAAAGGGAAATTTATAACTGTAACATCAACATTAAAAAGAAGATCTTATGGGCTGGGGCTATGGCTCAACGGTAGCGCACTTGCCTAGCATGTGTGAGGCACTGGGTTCAATTCTCAGCACCATATATAAATAAATAAAATTAAAATCTATCAACAACTAAAAAAAATTTTTTAAAAAAAGATCTTATATGAATAGCCTAATGTTACACCTTAAGGAACTAGAAAAAGAAGAGACAACTAAAACCAAAGCTACCAGAGGGAAGAAAGTAATAATTTAGATTACAACAGATATCAAGGAAATAGTTAACAGA